CCAGGTGCTGGAGGCGAGGAGGGGCAGGAGGTTCTGGTGCACTGGGAAGGGAAGAGGAGAAGAAAGGACAAGTGGCCTCTTCCTACCTGGTGTGTAGATGGGCATCTGCGTGGACTGTCCCTGCTTCTCTGGCTGGCACCAAATGACTGCCCATGCTCTCTGTGTGGTGGTTTCCAGGAGCTGCTCTCTGAGGGACTTCCAGGAAAGTTGTGCACAGGTCAAGCACTGGTCCCCCATGGGAAGGCTCCCTGACGTTGGGAATCAGGGTCTCAGCTCCCTCAGTCCCACCCTCTAGCAGTCCCACCCTGCAGCCTCTGCTTCTGGGCTCCACTCGCCCAGTTCACAGCCCTCCTGGTGGAGGACTAGCCAGAGCTCAAGCTCAGCTGCCTTCCACATTATCCATCATCTAATCAGCCCTGGTCTGCCAAGCGGTGGGGATACCAGCTGCCTCACTGCCCCCTCTCTGTTCCAGTGTTCCTGCTCAGTAGGCACAGGGCAATGGATGCCAGTCTTTCTTGGCGGAGGTGGGGGGGGGGGCAAGTCTTTATTTTTTTAAATCTTTATTGGTGAAAGTATTACATATGTCTCCTTTTCTCCCCCATTGACCTCTCCCACCTGCCCCTGCCCCCCACCCCAGGCCTTCACCATCCTATTCTGGGGTTATGCATATATGCATACCAGTTCGTTGGTTGATCTTTTCCCACCTGCCCATCCTCCCCTGCCTTCCCTCTGAAGTTTGACAGTCTGTTTGGTGCTTCTATGTCTATGGATCTATATTTGTTCATCAGTGTATGTTGCTCATTAGATTCCACATTTGAGTGAGATTGTGTGGTACTTATCTTTCTCTGACTGACTTACTTTGCTTAGCATAATGCTCTCCAGGTCCATCCATGCTGTTGCAAATAGTAAGAGTTCTTTCTTTTTTACAGCTGCATAGTATTCCATTGTGTAGATGTACCACCATTTTTATAATCCACTCATCTGCTGATAGGCACTTAGGCTGTTTCCAAATCTTAGCCAAGTCTTTATGAATGATTATCTTAGAAGCCCTCCCCACCTCCTGTCCTGCTTCTTGGTTTCCAGAGACTGGAGGATGGAGTGGGACACTGAGTTTGGCTCAGTGACCTTGGAATTGTCGAGTGCTGGATGCCAGCATGGGTTGAGTCACCTTCTCTGCTTACATTTTTTCTTTTCTCTGTTATTACCCACGCTTTTTTCTGAAAAGTGTGTCTATTGGTTTTCTTTGAGTTAAATATGGCCTCATCCAGTTCCACTGTGCTGGATTTCCTGTTGATATGATCTGGGTGTGTCTCAATATCTAGCCCTATTTTCCCTGCAGCGGGTGGTGAGATGGCATTTCTAGGAAGAAGCCTTTGGAGTTCTGCTTTCTCTGTGGAAAGAAAATGTCCTCCCTCACCCCATGCTCAGGCCACACATTGGTGAGGGCAGTGGCTGGGATTGAGAGAGATCAGGAGAGCTGGCATCATTGTGCACCTCTGAGAGTGAGGGTGAGGCACATTCTAACAAGTGGACATCGCGGCCCGGGCCACGTCTCCCTGCAGGGGCCTGGATGGAGCCAGAGGGAGGCCTCTCCTCCTCGAGGCAAGACTCTGCTAGGGCCTCTTCGCTCCTGAGCTCATTATGACCTACGGGGTGTTTATTGAGTTCAAAGCCTTACCTAAACTCTGTTTTACGTTTTCCAAAGGCAAATCATAATTCTTAAATCAAATTCATTTTATTTACCCAGGAGCACCAAAAAACAAACGTATTGTGATTTTTGTTGATGATTTAAATATGCCCAGACTGGATCGCTATGGCTCTCAGCCTCCGATTGAATTACTTCGGCAGTATCAAGATTTTGGTGGATTTTATGACAGAAACAAACTCTTTTGGAAAGACATACAGGTTACTTTAGGTTTTAAATTACTTTGCATGTTTACATTTAAACAGCAAGGAAATATGGTGTATTACAGTGATTTTCAACCTTTTTCATCGCATGGCACACATAAAGTAATTACTAAAATTTTGCAACACACCAAAAAATATGTTATATTTTTGTCAATCTGACAAAAAATAGGCATAATTTTTATTGATTTACAAAAAAATAATAATAGCAGCAATTACCTACCTTTTTGCTCCAAAGTGATTTTTAAAAAATCAGTTGCCTATACGTGTATATAAGGATTTCTGGTATCAAGAATTAACTAATCAGATGCAGCCTTATTATGCAATGTGATCAATAAGATGAAATCCTATTATATGACCTATATGTTTATGGTTCAGGATACGGCTGTTGTCAGTTTTTCATTTGACAATCTAAGGGAAAAGAGGTCAGTGCCCCTGATTAAAGAGTCAGGAATTGTTTTAAAAATTCTTTCGGCACACCACTGTGCCACAGAACACTGGTTGACAACCACTGGGGTATTAGTTTGCTCAGGTCACCGTAACAAAGTAGCTCAAACCACAAAAAGTTATTTTCTCACAATTCTAGAGGCTGAAAGTTCAAGATCAAGATGTCATCAGGGTTTGTTTATTCTAAGGCCTCTCTCTTTGGCTGACTGTCTTCTCCCTGTGTCTTCTCATAATCTTAACTGTGTACTCATCTGTGTTCAAACCTCCTCCTCTTATCAGGATACTAGTCAGATTGGATTAGGGCTCTCTCTCTTGACCTCATTTTAAATTAATTACCTCTTTAAAGACTCTATCTCCAAATACAGTCACTGTATTTTGAGATACTGAGCATTAGGGCATCAACATACGATTGGCCAGGAGGAAGAAGAGAAAGCCCATGACCTATGGCTTCAGTGTTTTCTATATGTGGTTCAATTAATCAGTCCACGTTGAGTTCTTGTCATGCTTGATTCAGGACATTCACGGACAAGGAGGCAGCCCCCACCTCCCAGAGGGCTCAGCTTTAGAGGGTAGATGGACATGTATTTATAAGGCAGGATGATAAATGGAGTTAGGAGGGCACGAGGGCTGGGGGCTGGGTTGAGGATGAGAGAAACCTTCCCAAAGGGGATGAGGTCAGAAGAGGGTTTTGCAGGCAGAGCATAGCAAAACAAGGAAAGGGAGCATTCTGCATCTCATAGGCAAGACATGTGGAACACCACGGTGGTGTGGAATGTGAACACCAAAGCAATGGGAATGCAGAGATCAGCCAAGGGGGCCATGGATCCAATGATGAGAAACATGGATTTATCCTCTAAGTGGGGGCGGGGGGCTTTGAAGAAAACGTTATGGGACTATCTCCTTGGCTGCAGGTGAGGGGTGGGCTAGAGACCAGAGGCCACTGCAATATCTTGTATTGATCTATTGATAAAAATGTTACCAGAGGCTCTGAGGAACCTAACCATGTATTTCCCGTAGGAGCAATTATTCAGTGTGTGTTAATTCTGTGTTCCCAGTGACTTTATGGAAAGCAAGTACCACAAATAATGAGAATCCACTGTATGGGTCAAGTTAGTATATGTTGAATGAATATATTTTAACTTGAGATAAAAATTCTTACAATGTTTTAAGATTAAGTTTTTGCATCGGCGTATTTATTTAAGGCAGGTGAGTTAGCTGGGTGACCTTGAGCGATTTAACTAGCCAGGGCCTTCTTCTTTTTTAACCTAAAAAATGGTGGTAACAATCGTGATCTCCTGGGGTTGCTGTGAAAACCAAGTCAGACAATGTGTTGGAAAACGTAATGCAATGCTTGAAAAGGGCAGGTCCTCAAAAATTGTTAGATCTGAGTCCTGCCGTTGGGAGGGACAGACCTCCTCTTTCCCTTTGTTGGGTGACCCAAGTGGATTTCTCCCTGGACAGGATGTGACCATTGCATCAGCGTGTGCACCTCCAGGTGGTGGCCGCAACCCAGTGACCCCCCGCTTCATCCGACACTTCAGCATGCTGTGTCTCCCGATGCCCTCGGAGCACAGTCTGAAACAGATTTTCCAGGTGAGTGTTGCCTTAAACGTAGGCAAGAAGGGAAAAGAAAACATATCTGTTCCCAAACCACCATGATCAAGGCATTCTGTCCTCTACCTGAACAGAAACTGGGTAAACACAGGGCCTCTGGTAGCTGACAGGCATGCGCATCACCGTCCTCTGTGCTTGTGGTCTCACAGGTGGTTTTAGGAATGCAGAAAGGTTATCAAATGCAGCCCCTACCTTTAATGAAGGCTGTACCCTGGGCCCTTGCCTTATAGTACTCTGTACCCAGTTCTCAGCAGAACTCACCCACTGCCCAGCCCCACCTGTGTGCTCATTTCTGGCCTGACCACACCAGACACAATTCTGGTAGCCTCACAGGCCCCAGCTGAACACAACTCAGAATTCACCACCTCCAGGGCCACCATCACATCCAATAGAAATAACCCCCATATTTCTCCCACCTGTACGACCTTCCTAAGAGCCACTTTCTCATCCTTTAAATGGGGCAGAGACCTATGCCTGCCCTGTAAGTGCTCAGCAGAAGTGTTCCATGAATGGGAGGCATTATTTTGAATAGAATGATGGGGCGGCGGGGGGTTGGGGGGTGGCGGGATGGAGAGGTACCATGAAAATGGCATAACTGGAGCAAGCATCCCATGTATATAAAATATATGTAGTGAATTTTTTAGTTTATATATATTGGAATGGTCCTACTCAAAATGCAGACCATGTGGATAATGTTAAACTCACATTAGGGGCCCGGAAGGACAGGTACCTCAAAAAGATAGTCTTCATAAGCTGCTACAAGTGATGTCCAACAGAGGGGCTCACTGAAAACAAACACTTCTGTTTATTTCAAAATATCTCATATGTGAGCCCCAAATCTAAAGTCACAAGAACTGACTTGGAAGCATTGATGTGCATTCTGGTGGCTTCTCCCACGTGTAACTCCAGGTTAATGGTGATGGGAATTTATTATAAAAATCTATAATGATTTTTCCCAGCAACTGGGGGCAGAGGGCCTCGCTAATAAATATGTTCTTTCAGACTGTGGCAAGTTATATATGAGAAGACCAGAGATCTGTAAGAGCCTGATGGGAGAACTGATTTTAAGTGAAGTAGTCAGGGCAGACCTCTCTGAAGAGATGACATGTAACCTAAAACACAAAGGATGAGAAAGTCCTTCCCAAGCAGCCAGCCATGAGACAGTGGGAGGGGGCACCATGTGCAGAGACCCTGAGGGAGGAGAGAGATGGGCATGGGTGGTAAGGCCAGTGTGGCCAGGACACCGTGACCAGAAAGAGGGTAAGCTGAGGAGGCCGGGCAGGGGCAGAGCATGGACTGGCTGGCGGGTGCAGTGCCTGATTTGCATAATTAAAGGTAACAGAAGGGAGACAGGAATAGAAATGGAGAGGTCAGGAGGAGATGGAGGGAGTGAAGAAGCGCAGATGAAAAAGAGTTGGTGCTGGGATGGGATAATGTCAAGGGAGAGAGACAGACTCAACACGTATACTCAGAATTGATGGTGAGGACAGAGAATGGGAGGTGTCCAAAGTGACCTCCAAATAACTGAGGTGGGGAAACTGAAAGGCGGAGAGTCTGTGGTTACGAGTAAGTTGCACTTTAAATGCACATGAAGAGGGAAGTCTATGGCATTGTTGGTCATTTGCACATAAAAATCAAGGAAGACTTCAGTTTATTTCCACATGAGTCTGAGCCCTCCATGGCGACCCTCTGGATCCACAGCGAGCAGCAGTCTATGTTTCGCAAGAGTGAGTTGATGGTCCGTTCGCTGGCCAGATAGGAATGCTCCCCAGGCATCTGCAGACAATCACAGAAGACAGGAGGGAGCCCATTCTTGAGAATGTATTCTGAATTGAACAGAAGAGCTTAATACACAGAGGTCCTTGCATTGGAATTCACCCTCCTAGTTATTATTAGAAAAAGTATCATCAGATCTGGAACATTTGAAAGATACATTTTTGGTGGGGAAAAAAAATCTAACCTATATGTTTCTGGTTCTAGGCCATCTTAAACGGCTTCCTGTTTGACTTTCAACCAGCTGTCAAGCAAACCGCACCCAACATTGTGGAAGCCTCAGTTGAGATTTATAACAGAATGAGTGTTGATCTTCTGCCAACACCAGCCAAGTCCCATTACGTGTTCAACTTGAGGGATTTATCCAAATGTGTGCAAGGTATTGTATGGACCCCTCATTCTCAGACCTTCACCCTCCCTGCATTTCTAGCCGCCCCAAATCTCTCGGTAGAATTGTATGTACCCGGTGTCTATGACGCTGGAAATCACATTACATGTCCTTGTTCAGTCACCCTCCACCCCCACCGCAGGCTGACTACTTTGTAGCTTCCCTCAAACAGCCAACACGCCCTCCCATTTCTCACACCCAACCCAGCCGAAGACCTTTCTTCATGTTTCACAGAAAAAAAAAATAGAAGCAATCACACCAGAACTGCCTCACCTCCCAAATCTCTCAGGCAACCCGTATCTGCCTTCCCTCCCGCAGAGGCTGGGCCGTCCTTGCTGCTCTCAGTCCCCCTCGGGCCCTGAATCCCGGCCCCTCCTGCCTGGCCAAGGATTTTGTTCTTACCATTGCTGTTTCTCTTCTGCATCATCGGTGTTTCCGCTTCTATGGAATCATTCCTAACAGCATAAAAACCTGCCACAAAACTTCCCATCTTAGTGGATCATTCTCTTTGGGAACCATATTGCCCTGCTACAACCTCCGCATTTCCTCTGCTCCTTCTAAAAAGACCCCTTAAAGCTGTGGTTCTCAACCTTCTGGCCCTTTAAATATAGTTCCACAACTGTGACCCAACCATAAAATTATTTTCGTTGCTACTTCATAACTGTAATGTTGCTACTGTTATGAATCATAATGTAAATATCTGATATGCAGGATGGTCTTAGGCGACCCCTGTGAAAGGGTCGTTCGACCGCCAAAGGGGTCGCGACCCACAGGTTGAGAACCGCTGCCTTAAAGTGGTCTCGCCTCACTGTCTCCTTACTTCCTCCAGTCCCAGTCTTTAGTATATTCCAGTTAAGCATTTATACTTGACACTGCACTGAACTACTCTTCGCTGCCTCTCTCTCTTGTCCAGTCCATCGATCAACTCTCAGTCTGAACCTTAACCTCTCAGCAGTGTTGGCACAACTCTCCCCTCCCTCTCTCTTGAAGCCCTTCTTTCTCTGACCTCCTAGGGCAGCCGTGGGCAAACTACGGCCCGCGGGCCGGATCCGGCCCGTTTAAAATGAATAAAACTAAAAAAAAAAAAAGACCGTACCCTTTTATGTAATGATGTTTACTTTGAATTTATATTAGTTCACACAAACACTCCATCCATGCTTTTGTTCCAGCCCTCCGGTCCAGTTTAAGAACCCATTGTGGCCCTCGAGTCAAAAAGTTTGCCCACCCCTGTCCTAGGGCACCTACTCTCTGGGGCTCCCTCCTCTCTCTCTCTGCTGCTCAGTCTCTTTGATTGCTGTCTCTCTTCTTCCCAACCTCAAAATGTTGGGATGCCTCAGAGCTCTTACTTCAGTCCTTTTATTATTATGATTTTGTTAATCCTCACCCAAGGGTATTTTTACCACTGATTTTTAGAGAGAGTGGAAGGGAGGGGGAGAGACACAGACAGAAAAACATCGATGTGAGAGAAACACATCAATTGGTTGCCTCCTGGTTGCCTCCCCCACATGCCCCAACCAGGCTCAAGGATCAAGCCTGGGATCGGATCAAGTCTGAGGTACGTGCCCTTGACCGTAATCAAACCTGGGGCCCTTCAGTCCGTGGGCCAATGCTTTGTCCACCGAGCCAAACCAGCTAGGGCCTTTTTTTTTTCATTTGATATCAGAGCTTTATGATAACAGTTATGTTTCTTTTTTTTTCATTTTTATTGTTGAAAGTATTTTCCCCCCTTGGTCACCTCCACCCCTCTCCTGTCCCCTCCACCCCAAGGCTTTTGCTGAACTACCAATTTCCTGCCCATGGGTTATGTATATATGCATTTAAGTTCTTTGGTTAATATCTTCACCTCCCAGCTTTCCTCTGAGATCCATCAGTCCCCTCTCTATTTTATCTACACATACTGCTTAGGTAATTCAGTCAATGCTATGATCTAAAATGCATCTATTTAGAGATGCTTGCATGTCTACTGCCAGCTTCCCCTCTCCCTTATGTGTCTGATTTGTATCTTCCACTCCTTTCTCAACAACCTCACTTAGATATCCAGTTGGAGTTCTTAAACTTGGCACATCTGAATTCCTGCTTTATGCCTCCTTTCCATCCAGGTGTACCCCAGCCCAGATAAGGGGACTAAAACTAGTTGCTCTGGCCAAGATCCCGGGAGCATCTTGGATTGTTCTCATTCCTCATTGACTCCCATCCAATCCATCAACATCCCCGATGGCTTTATCTTCAAAATATATCCCAAATCCAACCATGGCTTACCACTCCATCCACAACCACTCTAGCCCAAACTACTGTCATGTTTCACCGGGATTTCTAACAGCAAGCGCCCCCTACCTGTCTCTGGTCTCCTGCTTCCCGGCTGCCCACTTACCCACCTTAAACCTAGCTCTTAAACACACGGCAGAGGTATTCCCTGCTCAGTCTCCCAAGGCTGCTTCCCCATCACCTGCCATGGGACTGAGGTTCTGTTAGATCGGCACCCAGCAGCCTCCTGCCTTCATTGTCTACCACTTTCCTCCTGGCGGCTGCCACCTCCTTGCTGCTCCTGAAATAGGGCCTGCCCAGGGGCCTCTGTACTTCCCGTGGGATGCTCTTGCCTCAGATATCCACATGACTCGCTTTCTCTGTTCAAATGTCACCTTCTCCTCTTGCCCTCTACGTCCCTTCATAGCACTTACTACCTGAAATCATACCCTAGATCAGCGGTTCTCAACCTGTGGGTCGCAACCCCTTTGGCGGTTGAACGACCCTTTCACAGGGGTCGCCTAAGACCATCCTGCATATCAGATATTTACATTACGATTCATAACAGTAGCAACATTACAGTTATGAAGTAACAACGAAAATAATTTTATGGTTGGGTCACAACATGAGGAACTGTATTTAAAGGGCCAGAAGATTGAGAACCACTGCGCCTAGAATTCAGTGATGGCGAACCTATAACATGCGTGTCAGAGGTGACACGCAAACTCATTTTTTTGGTTGATTTTTCTTTGTTAAATGGCATTTAAATATATAAAATAAATATCAAAAATATAAGTCTTTGTTTTACTATGGTTACAAATATCAAAAAATTTCTATGCGTGACACGGCACCAGAGTTAAGTTAGGGTTTTTCAAAATGCTGACATGCCGAGCTCAAAAGGTTCGCCATCACTGGCCTAGATGTTTACCTGCACACACGTTTATGCCTGTCTCTCCCAATAGAATGTCAGCTCCATTAGGGCTGTTTGTTCAGCTCATCCATGCCTGGCACTGAATGAATGAATGAATGAATGAATGTCATAGAATGTCAAAACTGAGAGAAATCTTTTACAATATCTAGACAAGTCCTCACCTTATTTTGTGGACAAGGACATCAATTTTCAGTGATTTTCTCTGTTCCTATCCAGTGCTGACTCTCTATTTCCATTTCTCTTGTTTAGACATCACTGACTATTTTACTCTCAAACAGACTAAAATGCATAAGTATATTTTAAATATCTATGAAGTGCCGTAAGTGAAAGCTATCAAGCACTTCTGTGTAAAGCAATGACTGGGCTCTCTGAAATCCTGCTCCTTCTTTTGCCCTCATCAGAATCTAATTCATTACAAAACACTGAAGAGATCTGTTGTTTATTACAAAGGCAGGGAATGAGCCAGGAGGCAATGGCTGACGGCAGAAGCTGAGGCTTGGCTTTAAGAACCCTGACCATCCCGTGTGGCCCTCGCCTCCCTGTTGCTCAGTTCTCACCACAGGCCCCTTATCTTTCCAACTCCCATTCCGATGGCTCTGCAATTCTCTTTTCCTTTTCCTGCCCCCGTAACCTTCAAGAGCCCAGGACTCTTGCGGCTGGCACAGCATCCTTGCCACAGGATGGCGCAATAACTGGTACTCCTCCTCCACTAAGATTTTACCCTCCGACCCAGCTTCGTCCTGGAATTCATGAACTGGTTTTCCATAGGAGACGGAGTGTGGCTTTGTTTCCTTAGTGATTGCTTTGGACCCACTTTCTGGTCCTCAGACATTGTCTGATCTAGTCATTTATGTATCATCCTTCCCTGTTGCCTTTCTATTCCTACATTTTAGATCATTTCTGAGCCTCAAAGTTCAGGATGCGTTTTATCTCCGACAATGATACGTCATAGAGTACCAGGAAGTTCCAAATTTGAGTATCTTTCCCCTTGTCCTCACATTTTATCAAAATGTCCTAGAAATGCCCCTATTCCTACAAATATTAGCTGAAAATAATTAAATTTTTAACCATTTCAAGAAACATATATCACACACACACATGCATGTACAATGTGAGCTGCAAAAAAACCCCCACTATCTATAGAAATCCCCTATTATCCCAACGCGGCATGGATGCTCCCAGCCATGCTGTAAGGTGCCTTCTGTCAGCCGTGCACCAGCTCATGGTAGAGCCACCCCGTCCCCCTCTGCACACTGTGAGGAGCCCCGGGGAAGGGTCCCACAGAGAATGAACACTTCTGGACATCACTGCTTTTGTTGTAACTTGAAATTATTAGAACTGTGTTTGCAGTAACAATTTATATTAATACAAAGAGTACTCAGATTGATTTGAGTGGAAGCCAGAGGATGAGAACTGAACATTGAGAAAGAATAAGAGAGGACAATGATGTTTTGAAAACAGTGTAAAGGTCGGGAGGGGGAAGTTGCTTGATGAAAATACATATTTTAAAGTGACACTCCTCCCTTAATGTACTACAACTGAATGTAATGATGAGATGAACATTGGTTACACTTCACCTGTTCAGGGAAAGAAACATGAAGCAAGAAAAAAAATGTTGTCAAGTAATGTGTCCCAGTTTTACTTTCAAAAAACGAGGTCACTGTTACTACATCCACAGGCAAAGCACCCATTTCTGGTAGTGTGGGGATCAAGTTGGACTTAAGGATCTTCTAGGTCATAAAACTAATACTATATGTTCCAGAAATGTCAAATTTTTCTTCTTTTCTTAAAAACAGGTATCCTCCAGTGTGATCCAGGAACAATAAGAGAAGAAATACAGATATTTAGACTCTTTTGCCATGAGTGTCAAAGAGTCTTCCATGATCGCCTGATTAATAATGAAGACAAGCAGTATTTCCATACTATTTTGACAGAAATGGCCAGTACGTGTCAATCTTTATTTAGCTGCTCTATTTTTTTTTTAGTAGAAAAGCAATTTGGTTTCTATAAAGGAAAATTAAAATGATCTTATATAGGGTAAAGCAAAGTGAATTTTAGTCATTCCTAAGTAAAAGTTTTTTTTCAATGCCTCAAATATATAAAACTAGGGGCCCAGTGCACAAATTCATGCACCTTGAAAGGAACTTTGGGCCGCAAGGCTGCAGTGGGCATAGGGGCAGGTCTCAGCCCATCCTCTGTGCCCCCACTCTGCCCCTCCCACAACAGACCCTGGTCCCCTGTCTGCCGGCAGCCCCGCTCCAGCCACTGCTTCCATGCGCTGATGGCCCCACCCCTCTTGCACCCACTGACAGTGTGGAGCTATTGGGGCCGGAGCCAGCAGCAGGTGCAAGTGGGGCCATCAGTGGGTGTAAGTGGTGGCTGCTGCCCCGATCATCCCTCAGGAGCAGGAAGAGGTGGAGAAGCCCTCAGGGGTGGTCGGGGCTGGCAGCCACCACTCTCACCCGCTGACGGCACTGAGCGATCGGGACTGGCACTGGGTGCTGGCAGCCAATGCGAGTGGGGGCTCTGGCGCTGGGTGCAGGTGCAAGCGGGGCTGTCGCCAGCAGTGGGTGCAAGCAGTGGCCGCCGGCCCAAATTGCCCCTCAGGAGCAGGGGGAGGTGAAGAAGCCCTCAGGGGTGATTAGGGCCAGCACCACTCCTCGCACCTGCTGACAGCGCTGAGCAATTGGGATCGGCGCTGAGCTCCAGGTGCTGGCAGCTAGTGCGAGCGGCAGCTCCGGGAGCTGACAGCGGTTGTGAGCAGGACTGGCGCAAGTGCCAGGAGGGACCACGGCGCATCGGAACAAAGAATTTTCAGTAAACACCAGAGGCTCACCCCAGTGACAGCAACCAGCGCCCCACCTTGGTCTGGCATCCCCCACTCACCTGCTCCACCATCCTGCCACGGCCAATGCCCGCCTTGTTCTGAGCTCTGCTGCCTGCTGCCAACACCTGCCATGTTCCACGCGCACCCCCTGGTGGTCAGCGCACCTCATAGCGACCAGTTGTTCGGTTGTTCAGTTGTTCCGCTGTTTGGTCTATTTGCATATTAGCCTTTAATTATATAGGATATATGAAATACTATACAATTCATTGTATTGAAATTCAAGAAGGTTTAATATTTTAAATTAACTATTGAATTTTAAGTAGAGGAGAGAATTTAGAAGAAACATTTTGTCTGATAAGAAGCCAGGATATTTCTAAAATATGTCTTATTAATTTGTATTCAATATCTATTATTTAATAAAATGCTTATTAATATTTTATATTCTTAACCTTAAACATGGGAGATTATCAACCAAACTAAAGTGGTACAGTATTAACATGGCTTTCCCTCAGGTTCATTTATATTAATTAAGGCTTCTATGTAAATAGCTAATATTTTGATTTTGTGTTTTGAATAGACAAACATTTTGGAATTGCAATTAGCCTGGAATATTTTTTGACTAAGCCCATCCTATTTGGAGATTTCATTAAGGCAAGTATATTCTAATGACTTGGGACTACATCTGAAGATTATAATTATATAAATGTTATAATTATAAACCTTATAATTTGAAAATTATAAAGTTCAGGTTCACATTCTACATGAACTTTACACCTGTGAAAATTAAAGATGTAGATGAGGGGTCAGCAAGCTATGGCCCATAGGCCCAATCGGCCTTCTGCCCATTTTTGTAAATAAAGTTCTATAGTAGTACAGCCACATAATTCCACTTATACTATTTATGGGGTTACTTTTGCATTACAAGGCAGAATAGTAACAGAGACTATATGGCCTGCAAGGCCTAAAATATTTACTATCTGGCCCTTTAGACAAAAAGATTGCTGACTCCTGATCTAATTACATTTATTTTGATGATAGTTTGAATCAGAGACCCATCAGGTATTTAATTGGTAAGGAGGTTTAGTCTCTTAACTCAGGACTGGACTCCCCCTGACTGCATGTACCTGTGCATCCTATGTTCAAATGCTTCCAGCAATGGGGAGCTCACTGGTGAGCAGTGCTGCCCTCTTCATTTTAGAGGAGCTCTAATTCGCAGCAAAATTTTCCTTGTATTAAGTTCCTCAAGTCTGTTGCCCCAACAGCATCCACATATGGGCCCTAATTTTACCCTCTAGACCTGCCTAGAATAAGTCTTCCACCTAAGCACCCTGCCGTTGTTGACAGACAGCTGTCTTGTTTTACAAGTTGACACTTTGGGTTCAACATTCTTAGTGTCTGTGAGAGAGAAAAGCCATACCTCCCTTGTTCACCCTAAATCCTAGCATGGAGCTAGTCACTGCTGATTAAACAGGTGAATGAACTTGTCTTTGTATTATACGTATGCAATCCCTCACCACTCGGGTAACCCCTGACAAGTAAAAAGGAGAGACCATTGATTTGTATAAAATATATTTATTTAAATGTTACATTAAACACAAAGTCCAAAGTTTGTTTTCAAGTGGGGTTATATTTCCTTTGTGTTTCTAGTGATATTATTATCAAACTAGAGGCCTGATGCATGGAATTCTTGCAAGGGGCTTGGCCCTCACAGCCTCAGCTTCATCCAGAAAGTCATCTGGATGGTCGTTCTGCTGTTTGGTCTAATTAGCATATTAACTCTTTATTATATAGGATGAGGGAATAAAGCAAAGGAAAAGAACAGTTGGACTCTTCTTGCATTGCCTACGGGCATTTTAGTCAAAGTTACCAAATGAACATGCCCCCAGGGCAGTTGCTGAAGCAAATAAAAGACATCATCAATAGGTCCAAACAAGACCTCAGTTCCCTATTGTTTATACCACATTTCATCCTCAATGATTTATTCATTGGGTAGCCGCTGTGTAGAAACTACACGTAGTTCTGGCATGATTTTATAACCATAATAGTCTGCCAGGCATCATTTTCAACTCATTTAGTTTTTCTGAAGTCAACAGCCTAGGAACAAAATTATGAAATCAGAGTCATGTATAGTGAGAAAATGTTTAAATGTATGCCTGAGCTCCTGTGTCAATTTTATGGCAAACAAAACTGAAATCCCAATATACTAGTTGAAAAAGTTAAATGAAATGGATTTTCACCTAGTCACAAAAATCTGAGTTTCCTTAATCCCAGTTCCCTTGTTTTGAAAACCCTTCTAGCATATATGTAAGCAAATGATTAAATAACAACATAGGTAAAATAATGTTCCCTGCTAAGGTCATGTGTGGTATATATATTTCTGTATCATAATTTATTCAACTCATTTCTTCTCCTATAAATGATCTTATAGTTTGGAGCAGATAAGTCTGATCGGATTTATAATGACTTGCCTGATATGGAGAAAATCGCAAATGTTCTCCAGGACTATCTTGATGACTATAACCTTACAAATCCCAAAGAAGTAAAGTTGGTATTCTTCCAGGATGCGATAGAACACGTTACCAGGTAGAGTGCTAAAAGGTGCCCCATAAGACATCATTCTAATTTGTTTTGTATTAAAATGTAAGGATTAAGCTGTGCAGAATTCTTTACATAGATACTAGATGGACAAAGGTCTATAACAAATCCTGGTACAATTTAAGTTAGTTTTGAAATATTTTACATAGATATGTATGAACTTTCTATGGAATCCCCAAGGTTGTTATTTTTTGCTAAACTTTAATAGATTGGTTTTTGTTTTAAATGTCATGGATCATTACAAAAAAGGGTCTAATAAGGTTCACAGAGGTACAAGTACAGTATAACAAGGCTGATTATGTGCATGCCTAAAGAAAGAGGAGTTCAAGGTTATAGAAAAAACAAGTTAATGCAGGGATGACACTCGGCTGGCCGCCAGCCTTCCACGCTGGGGCAGGCTCTGAGAAGCCACATCTGTCCAGTTGAAATAGCTTTTTCTCTGCTTTGCTTCCTGCAGGATTGCCCGCATGATTCGTCAGGAGAGAGGCAACGCCCTGCTTGTCGGAGTAGGAGGCACCGGGAAGCAGTCTCTCACAAGACTTGCAGCTCACATATGTGGTTACAAATGTTTACAGATTGAACTGAGTCGGGGATATAATTATGAGAGTTTTCATGAAGACCTGAGGAAGTTGTACAAACTGGCTGGTGTAGAGGACAAGAACATGGTTTTCCTCTTCACGGACACACAGGTACCTATTTCAGTATCCAAAGCATCAGAACAGGAAAGGTTTACAATCACGTATGTGTCCGAATAGTTTTATGATGCAGCTCAGGGGCTTGTTCCCTCAGATAACAAATGTCTTGGCTCTTGCAAAAGACTTTTATAGCACATTTTTTTAATTTCTTTTACCAACTATTATTTCCCCCTTTAAATTCTAAGTAAGTAAATATCATCAGAGGTTAAGGGAGTGAGACTATTTCTGTAGAGGTAGATATAAGAAAGGAATTCCTTAAGTGGAATCAATTAGGGAAGTAGGCTTTTCTCAAGAAAAGGAAAAAATAACAGCTATGTGTTTGGGTTAAATTAACTTAAAAATTAAAATAGGATTTACATCTGTCTACAACAACCATTTTCACTGATTTAAATTTATTTTATAGTAGAGAATTTTCTACATTCACTACACTTGCATATCTTACCATTAAGGGTGGAGCGGGGGGGAAACCTTTATAGAAATTAGCTAGGGCCGAAACCGGTTTGGCTCAGTGGATAGAGCGTCGGCTTGCGGACTGAAAGGTCCCAGGTTCGATTCCGGTCAAGGGCATGTACCTGGGTTGCGGGCACATCCCCAGTAGGAGATGTGCAGGAGGCAGCTGATCGATGTTTCTCTCTCATCGATGTTTCTAACTCTCTATCTCTCTCCCTTCCTCTCTGTAGAAAATCAATAAAATATATTAAAAAAAAAAAGAAATTAGCTAGGGAATAAGAAAGCAATATATCTGATGCATAAATATTTTAAAGTTCATTTTACTTTTTAAAACACATATACATGGGATTAAATCCATTCATAAAATGGGGAAAATTTCTTAACATCTGTGACATGCAGTAAGTTCATATCTGAGTATGTAAATATTGTTTACAAATGAGAAACACCCATAGTCAAATGTGTGCCCATCACTGGCTCTGACCTCCGCCAATGCCTGCCCTGGTTCCTAGCCACAGGACTTGGAGGCACGGCTGAGGACCCAAGTACTCCTTCCCGCCAGGGCAGACCCCCCGCAGTGCTGACCGAGAGACACATAATCGTTGACACTGTGGGCCCCAGTGACCTGAGCCAGAGGCATAACACTACCACCCCCGAACCCGTGCTATCAAACACCTCTACCCTTGCCCTCCTGTACTGTACTACCAGCCAGGGGTCATAGCAAACCCCAGGGTGCCCCTAACCACAGGTGAAAGTCTTCCCTCACCAAAGTCTGCCCGTGAAGTCTGGAAGAGGTGACCGCTTCCTCAAATGTGCAGACACCTAAGTAGGGCTACAGAGTTCATGAAGAATCAGGGAAACATGGCTCCACCGAGGGAATACAGTAAGCCTCCTACGACTGGCCCCAAAGAAATGGAGATCCACTAATTTCCCCACAAATAATTCGAAATAGTTGTCCTAAAGATGCTAAGAGAGCTACGTGAGAATGCAGATAAACAATCTAACAATATCAGGAGAATAACATCAGAACAAAATTACAAAGTGGGGACATCACCAAGATGGTGGCATAGGTTGTTCCCAATTTTACTCCATCCCCCTCGCCAAATAACTATCAACTATTCACGGACAAGATACCACTCAGAAAACCTAGAACAAGGGGGCAGAGGCTGAATCACCCCCCTGGGCACCACAGAGATGAGGACAGACTGCATTAAAAGGTAACAGAGTGGCTACATGCTGGTGCAGCGTCACACCAGGAGGTCTCCCCTGAGCCTACAGCTCCTCCAGTGAGAAAAGAGAGCCCAGGTGGAATGCCAGGTTATGCTGCCTTGTGGAGCACTTCTTGGGAGGTTCACTGCAGTCTCACATCATGGGGACAGTGGGGGAATCTGCAGGCCTTGACCACTGAGTGGTTGGAGGACTCACAACCATCAGCACTTGGAACTTGGTAGACTGCGTTCCTACTGCAGTGCCCAAGTAGTCGTTTCAAGCGGCAGCTTTGCTCATCTGCGAAGCCAAGGTAGGGGTACAGTCTTGCCAGAGAACCGAGCAAGGGCACAGATCTGTCTGAGTGGAGGTTCGCAAACAAAAAGCCTTTCCGTCTCTGGAACCTGGTCTGCCTCCCTACCCTGCCCAGGCAGAGGAGCTGAGCCATAGCCCTGCCCACTGCTGAGGGGAGCTCTCAGCCCTCAACTTATGGTGGGGTTATGTCCCAATAAGCCCACTGTAAGCAGAGAATATCATAAATTGAAAATGCACTTCATACACCTACTCTATACCGAACATCATAGCTTAGCCAAGCATACCTTAAATGTGCTGAGAATAGTTACACTAGCCTACAGTTGGGCAAAATCATCTAACACAAAGCCTATTTTGAATACACTGTTGAATATCTCTTGAAAGCGTATCTCTTTCATGCCACTGTAAAATTGAAAACTGGTAAGTTGAATCATCATAAGTCAGGGACCATCTGTATATAAATGGTTCCAAAGTTTGAGCAGATTTTTTAACAGAAACAAAGAAATATGGAATAATATTTGCCCTTGCTACTAGTAATAATCAAAGGACTGCAAATTAAATTCTCCCAGAGGAAACGTTTACACTCCCCACAACATTACATGTTAAAGGTTAATGAAGTCATACTTGAATTGAATAGGAAACTTTGAAATTTTCAAAATTTAGAAAACATTCATATACTTTAATTGCTAATCTCACTCCTGGGAATTTATCCCCTGGAAATAATTCAGCCAGGGAGAAAAGCTATAGGCCTAAGTATGTTCTTATAATGTACGTAAGACTGTAAACTATCTAAGTTTATGTAAATCTATGGCACATCAGCTCAGTGGTATGCTATGCTCCCATTAATGGTTGTAAACACGATAAGTACACTACAGAATTGTGGATTGATATTTACAACAGAATGTTCACTGAAAGGAGCAGATTATAAAATGCTTGCACATATGACCAAACCATGTAAAAGGTGATGCCAAATATCAATGTACTCGCTATGTTAGAATATTAAGAGTCTATCTAATTTTTAAGATTATCTTCTCTTAAAGATAAAACTAACTGAATGTGAATTTTGAAAAAAAATATTTGCTTTATACTTTACAATATAAAATGGTTGAATGAGTTATAATAAATCACTTTGCTTCCTTCTACAGATTGTAGTGGAAGAGTTCCTAGAAGATATAAATAACATCTTGAACTCAGGTGAAGTGCCTAACTTATTTGAAAAGGATGAACTGGAGCAGGTTTTAGCAGCCACCAGACCAAGAGCTAAAGAAGTCGGAATTTCCGAGGGAAATAGGGATGAGGTAGGACGTGTGAAAATGGCTATACGGCTTTATAGAACAAAAAAATTGTCTTAGCCTTTTTAAAAATGGTCCACAAATCTCCTTAAGGGGTCTGTGGATAGAATTGCTTTACCAGTATAATTGGTTTCTTTAGTAATTCTTGATATTTTATATCCTGCATTCAAAGCATTGGTTCACCAGACTCCCAACGAAGTCCATGGAAAGCAGAAACCCTACTGCCCCATGAAGGTCATAGTCTTGTCCAAAGATGTTTCACATGCCCTCAGTGCCCTGCCTGAGAAGTCCAGTACTGTTGACTCCCTGCCTATCAGCTAGGTTATGGCACAACTAAAACAGAAATGCTGTTCTTCTTCTTCTCCTTCTTCTTCTCCTTCTTCTCCTTCTTCTTCTTCTTCTTCTTCTTCTTCTTCTTCTTCTTCTTCTTCTTCTTCTTCTTCTTCTTCTTCTTCTTCTTCTTCTTCTCCTCCTCCTTCTCCTCCTCCTCCTCCTCCTCCTCCTTCTTCTTCTTCTTTCTCTCTCTCTCTCTCTCTCTCTCTCTCTCTCTCTCTCTCTCTCTCCAAACAGGTGGCACTCTGCTAAATTCCATATGCTGCTGTTTGTCTACCTACCCCACTCCTTTTTTCTTTCTGCACCTTCTTTAACTTTATGACCATTTTTCATGTATTCTGTGTCCTTTCATGAGAATTTCCTCTACTGCTATATCAGGGCTTATAGGTGTAGACAGCAGGGTCTACTTTGGCTAATGTAAGTAGAAATGGCTTTATTCCAGGCATACAATCACTGGGAGGGCCAAAGAAAGGGATTCCAGGCTGAATTCCTTGGAATGATGTGAAATGCACACTGTAGAAGTCAATGGTCAAGGAAGCTGCTGCCTTGCCACCCATTCCTGCTGAGCCAGGAAGCCACTAACCCAATCAGAATGCTGCTGCTTCAGCTGCCAGCTCCGAAGCCATGCATCCGTCACCCTGTCAGGAAGCAGCTGAAATAGGAGCTGTTCGTTCACATTTTCCTGGGGGGAAATGAAATTGGTCCCTGTACACAAGGAACAAGGAGAGAACAAAGGAAGAGGGAGAGCACTGCAGATTGGTAGGTAGGAGGTTTAATAAGCAAGAAAACTGCCTGGCCAGTGTGGCTCAGTGGTTGAATGTCAACCTGTGAACCAGGAGATCACAGTTCGATTCCCAGTCAAGGCACATGCCCGGATTGTGGGCTCGATCCCAAGTGGGGGGTGGGGACCTGCAGGAGTCAGGAGACAGCTGATCAATGATTCTCTCTCATCATTGATGTTTCTATCTCTCGCTCCTTCTCCCTTCCTCTCTGAAATCAAGAAAAACATATTTTTTAAAAAGATAAGCAAGACGACTTTTGTCTTGGGCATCCTCAAGGTGAGTAGATCTTCATACTGCCCACCAGAATCTTAAAAGTTTACATAGAGGACTTACCTGGGCTCAGCCACGTCTATTGTCCAGATGGTCTCTACAACACATTGCTCTCTCAAGACCGAGTCCTTGAAATGGCTCCCGCTGTGGGAACAGTGGGCAGAACATGCAATCTAAGGACAAGGGAGGGTGACCAGCTGATGGCTTACCCAGAAGTCATGTCCTCTCAGTGACCTCCTCTAACCGGAGCCACGTCTGGCGATAGTGGCTCCAGGTGCATACCACTTCTATCAGGCTCTGCACCTGCAAAAAATGTTGCCCTGCACCCTGTCTCTCTCCCCCAATGGTCCTCCACTGCAGAGCAAAACTTCATATAAATACCACCCTCCACTAGTTCAAGGGGTCTCATAAGTGCACTGGTGAGGAGAATCTTCATCACATCCAGACTGTAGCTGCAAAGGAGTCTGAAAAATGTCATGTTTAGTCTTTCCAGACAAGAGGGGTTGGAATGGATATTAAACAAAATAATTTACACATTTACTTCACTGACATTTTTTAATTGATATTGGTAGCCAACACTTGTTTTCATTGTTGCTTCATCCTTATTTTAAATTGAAAAATTATCTTTTTTTTGGCAGGTGTTTCAATACTTTATTAACAGAGTCCGTCAGAAGCTGCACATTGTTCTCTGTATGAGCCCTGTGGGAGAGGCCTTCCGGTCCCGATGCCGGATGTTCCCATCCCTTGTGAACTGCTGTACCATTGACTGGTTTGTCCAGGTTGGTGACTCCCCAGGACTTCTCTTTCTGAAGTTGGATTTGCTTGATTTTAAAGGAGTAATATGGCACTAGTTTGAAAGCCCTCTAAAAATTTACTCATATGCAAGAGATGACATTGACAATTATCAGACAAAGGCAAAGCAGAATTTATAAAGGAAGAGGAGACTATTGAATTTAGCAATGTAGACGTCAGTGATCTTGACAAGAGCTGTTTCAGTAGAGTTATGGGAGATGAGGTTCAATAGAGAAGAGGGGAGAGGAATCTGAGACAATGAGTATAGTAGCACCCCCTTATCCACAGTTTCAGTCTCCATGGTTTCAGTTACTGGGGTCAAGCTCAGTGCAGAAATATTAAATGGAAAATTTCAGAAATAAATAATTTGTAAGTTTTGAATTGCACACCATTCTAAGTAGTGTCATGAAATCTCACACCACCCTGCTCTGTCCCTCCTGGGACATGAATTATTCCTTTGTCCAGCATATCCACACCATATACACTACCCACCCATTAGTCACTTAGTACACATCTCCATTATCAGGTCTACTGTCAAGGTATCACAGTGCTTATGTGTAAGTAACCCTTGTTTTACTTAATAATGACCCCCAAAGCACAGTAGTAGTGGTGCTGGCAGTTCAGATATGCCAAAGAGAAGCCATTAAGTGCTTTCTTTAACCCCACCAGACCGCTGTACCGATTTTTCGGTAATTTCCACACAAAGGTGGAATATTGGCGCTAGATGAAAGGTAGACCTATTTTCTACAATGTCTCCAAGTTCCATCTTATTCTAACCATTTGTTTGCATGTAACTAACATTTTTCTATATCATGTTGGTTTTTTCTCTTTAATGCTCAGGAGCCCAGGTATAGGAGACAGTTAGGTTCAGGGCCTCAGGTCTGGTAGGATTAAATGAAAAGGTATTTATATATAAGAAGAAGAAAAAACATAGTATGTGTGGGGTCCAGTACTATTCACAGTTTTAGGCATCCATGGGGGTCTTGGGAGGTATCCCCCATGGATAAGGGGGAACGACTGCCAACTCTTTTAAGACGTTTTTCCCCAAAGGAGCACCAGGAGATGAGTAATAGCTAGAGTAGTATGTGTAGTGAAAGGAAGAGTATTTTTAAGTGAGAAATACAAACAGCACATATGTGTGCTGACGGAAATGATCCAGAAAAAAGAAATATATTGACGGTACAGCAGACAGACTTAAGGGTTGTTAGACCAATGTCTTTGAGTAGACAAGAAGAATAGAATCAAGTCATCAATGAAGGGGCTGATTTGGACAGGGAGCATGAACTTACCCCAGAGTACCAGGAAGGAAGGTAGAATGTATGAGCACAGATGCAGATGCATGAGAACTCATTGAAGTTCTATTTTCATTGCTTCTGGTTTTTTATTTTTATTTTTTAGTGATGTGGGAAGCAAGGTCATCAGCTGAAAATGAAAAGAGGAAGTATTAACAGTCTGAGAAAGTAGTGTAGGCTGTAAAATGCTCACTTAGGAGAGTACATTAGGGGTGAATTAGAAAATGTAGATTTTCTGGGCTGCACTATGAACCTGCTGGAACTGGTTGCATGAATTTAAAATGAGACCAGTCAGCATGGCTGTGTGTTTCTCCACCATGCTCAGCTGCACCGTCACTGGCATGGGGTACCAGAAAGCTGCATTTGACTAAGGTTCAGGTAAGCTCAAAGAAACAAGAGAGGAGCAAAGGAGTTGGGGTGAGCAGGACAGCGATTATAATAATGAACCTGAAGTCCAATGGCATAATAAATCGAGTGAGCACATAATATATGAAATTTTATTCATGGAATTATCCCAGAGACACCTAATTATTTATTCATTAATCAACAAAAACTTATCGAATAATTGCTATCTGCCAGACATTGTGCTGAGGAGAGCAAATGCAGACTCAGATCTCCCTCAAATGAACACAATTGTTCAGTTTATTAAACACTAGGGGCCCAATGTATGAATTCGTGCACCTTGAAAGGAACTATGGGCCACGAGGCTACAGTGGGCACAGGTCTTGGCCCATCCTCCGCAGCCCCACCTGGCCCCTCCCATCGTGTCTCTCCACCCCCCCCCCGCCCCCGTACCCTGTCTGCTGGCAGCCCTGCTCCTGCCGCTACTCCCACACAATGATGGCGCAGGCCCCGCTCATACTTACTGATGACACGGAGCGATTGGGGAGTGGGGCCAGCGCAATCAGCGGGTGCGAGCGGCGGCTGCCAGCCCTGATTGCCCCTCAGGAACAGGGGGAGGTGGAGAAGCTCTGAGGGGCGGTCGGGGCTGGCAGTTGCCGCTTGCACCCGCTGACTGTGCCAAGCAATAGGGTGTGAATACCAGGCAGGACCTCAGCATGCAGGAGCAAAGAATGTTCAGTAACCACTAAAGGCTCACCCTGTTGACAGTGACCGGTGCCCTGCCTTGGTCTGGCGCCCCCACTCACCTGCTCCACCATCCCGCTGCAGCCAATGCCTGCCATGTTTCACGCTCTGCCGCCTGCTGCCGATGCCCACCATGTTCCGCGTGCACCCCTGGTGGTCAGCACACATCATAGCGACCAGTTGTTTGGTTGTTTGCTTGTTCTGCCGTTCGTCTATTTGCATATTAGGGTTTTATATATAGATCATAGACATGAGTAGGAGTAAACCAGGTGAAATATACATTTTTCTTATTTGTTAAGTCACATACTATGGAAATGAGCAACAGATTTTCCAAACTGTGTCTTTATTTACAGTGGCCCAGAGAAGCACTTCTTTCTGTATCAAAGACATTTTTCTCACATATTGACACCGGAAATGATGAACTAAAAGAAAAGCTTTCCCTCATGTGTGTGAATGTTCACTTAAGTGTCTCCAATATGGCAGAACGCTATTACACAGAGCTACGGAGACGGTACTATACCACGCCCACCTCCTACCTGGAACTCATCAATCTCTACCTGACTATGCTCAGTGATAAAAAGAAGCAGTTGATTTCAGTAAGTTGAACACCCTGGCTAGTGTTGCTAAATGGTTTGAGCACCAGCCCTCACACTGAAGGATCTCTGGTTTGAGACCCAGTTAAGGGCATGTACCTGGGTTGCTGGGTCCATCTCCAGCCCCGGTCAAGGTGCGTGCAGAAGGCAAACAATGGATGTGTTTCTCTCATCAATGATTCTCTCTCTCTCTGTCTCTCTCCCTCATGCTTCCTCCCTTCCATTCTCTCTAAAAAAATCAATGGGAAAAAATATCCTCGGGTGAGAATTAACCAAATATAAATATATATGTAATCATTTAAAAAAATTTCTATTGCTTAGCCCGGCTGGTATGGGTCAGGGGTTGAGCGTCACCCATGAACCAGGAGGTCATAGTTCAATTCCCGGTCAGGGCACATGCCCAGGTTGTGAGCTCAGTCCCCAGTGTGGGACATATAGGAGGCAAGCCAATCAATGATTCTCTCTCATCATTGATGTTTCTCTCTCTCCCTCTTCCTTCCTCTATGAAATCAATAAAAATACCTTTTTTAAAAAATGTATTGCTTGAACTCAAAACTTTTGCCAGAATGAGTGGGAGGTCTATGTGCCATCTTACCTGCTGGAGCCCTCTCCATCCTGACAAGTGCCCTTGACACTTACGAAAAAAAATTGTTTCATGTTGTCGGTCCACGAGTCTTCCCCTTCCTTAATATTTATGCTTTGTCTTCTATCATTTACATGAGTGTCATGGACTCAGTAGAATGATATGGACATTGTAACAGCATCAAAGTTAAGCAGAGAGCTAGTCACCAGAAAACTTTCATTAGGCAACGGAGATGGGGATTTTGTCATCTAATGTGCCAATAGTTCTTATGGAGAGTAGAGACTTCATTGTCAGGCAGACTGTGTACAACCCATGCTCTGCCTCTTTCTTCCTACACAACCTTAAGCATGTTTTACAAATTCTCCAAGTCTTAGTAGAAAATAGGTTAAACATATCTCTACCGACCTCTTGTATTGTTGTGGAATTTAAATAAGACTGTGCAGTACTTGGTATATGACCTGGTGCATATGAGGTACTCAGAAAATAGTGGCCGCCATCATCATCATTTTCATCATCATCAGGCTATTCACATGACCTAAAATTTTCAACACAATAAAAATGGAAGCATTCACCATTTATATATTTTTAATGTTTTTCAGTGGATTTTTACCTGGTAAATGTAAAAGAACTTGGCAGAGATTTTTGAAACCTGTCAATCTCAACCAAGCTTTCTGACTCACCTCCAAAAATGTTATTCCTAGGTGTCTTCTGTACCAGATGCCACCCCTTCCACCCTAGTTAAAAGTTTTCAACCACTGAGAAGTAGGGTTTAGATCCACCAACCTAAGTGAAGTACCTAGGACACTGTCTCCCTAGGGGTTCTCAGCCCTGCTGACCATCCTGAGGAAACAGGTGTTTTAAAAAAAAAAAAAAAACACCTTCAAGGCTTTGAAGCTGAACATTGTCTTGAGAGAAAGGGTTTATTGAGCCACATCCTAGCCAGAAAAAGGACCAGGTCCCGGAAGCTGCATTCTACACCACCACCAGCTGGGTGGAGAAAAGAATATACATCCACTGTCCGGGGGCTCACAGGACTCTTTTACTAGTATACAATGAGTTTGGGGGGAAAGACGTAGGTTATTTTGAAAGAATTTACATTGGCTACAGATAAGGGGGTTGTGGGAAGATGAAGTTGGGAAAGTTCTGGAACGGGTGACTTGTACATCAAAAAGAAGTATTTAATGCTTTGGGACTATTTTGGGCAATAGTCCAGAATGTTCAAGCATAAGCAAGATATGCTGGTGCCTGGGAGCTGCCTAAATAGTCGCTGAAATAGGCACACAGAAGTCGATTAAAAGTTTCAACATACTGTCAGGAATATGAGCAGTCTGTTATTAGTGTAGACCCGTAGCTACTAACTGATTAACTTTCCTTGTCTCTTCCTCCCACCCTCCAGTCTGCTGTAATTTAATTTAGGACATCTCAGAATTTTTCTCTTGTCCCAGATCTCAGAGCTGCGGCCTCCAGGATTTTCTACCTGAACTTGTCCCTCATTCATTCAACATGCTACCAACCAACCACAGAAAATAAAAATAATACATGGTGGGCCCTTGGTGAGCCCACAGTCCAGTAATGCCCCACTCCAGTGGTCAGGGGGCATGGATTCAGACCTACTATGGTGAATGTCAAGGCCATTTCCTAGGGTTCTGTTCCCTGAAGATTTCTTTACAGTCAAAAATTTATTTATTTATTTACTTATTTACTTACTTACTTATTTATTTTTAATATGTTTTTATTGATTTCATGGAGAAAGAGAGAGGGAGAGAGAGAGAAACATCAATGATGAGAGAGATCATTGATCAGCTGCCTCCTGCATGGCCCCCACTGGGGATCGAGCTCGAAACCCGGGCATGTGCCCTGACCGGGAATTGAACCTTGACCTCCTGGTTCATAGGTCGACACTCAACCACTGAGCCATGCTGGTCGGGCATACAGTCACAATTTTAAATATTACAAACTGATTTACCAATTCTGCAGATGTAAAATTCTATTACATGAGTAAGAGATTTCAGTAAATGTATAGTTTCTAATACTCATTATAATAAATATTTTCATTGTCATTTAGGCACGTGAACGGGTGACAAATGGTCTTACCAAGCTATTAGAAACCAACATACTAGTAGATGCGATGAAATTAGATCTTTCTGCTTTAGAACCTGTCCTTTTAACAAAATCACAAAATGTCGAAGCACTGATGGACAAATTGGCAGTGGATCAAGAAAATGCTGATCAGGTATGCTGAATAACCTGACTTGTGGGTGAGAAAGCTTTAATCACCAACGGATCACGTATGTACAATGACAAATGATTGGATTTTTTATCTTCCATGTCGTTAAAATAATTAGCATTGATTTTAAGTTGTAAACAATCTCCCTTCAATAAAACAGTCTGATTCTCTCCCTGAAGAAAAGTGAACCTAAAGAGTGGCACCTAAAGAGTGGAACCCAGTGCTCGCTTCGGCAGCACATATACTAAAATTGGAACGATACAGAGAAGATTCGCATGGCCCCTGCGCAAGGATGACATGCAAATTCGTGAAGCGTTTCATATTAAAAAAAAAAAAAAAAAGAGTGGAACCCAAAGAGAGAGTTGTAAGAAAAGTGCCGCCTATAAACCTAAAGCACCTATTCTTCTCCTAGAAGGAACTGTCTACTCTAACTTTTTCTCCATTATTCTATCAACATAGCATGAGATGCAGTAAGGAGAGGGTAAAATTCAGTGTAGCTAATCCTCTTTCCTCACCGGTCTAATCCAAAGGGGCAAATATGACATTATTATTGGCTTTGTTTTTAAGTATTGAAATTCAAATATTGAGACCACGTAAGCAGTCATATTTCAATGGTTAGGTCCGCAGCGTTGTGCGAGAAGATGAAGCAGTGGCCAAAGTCAAAGCCGAAGAAACCCAAGCAATAGCTGATGATGCTCAGAGAGACCTTGAAGAAGCTCTGCCTGCACTCGATGCCGCCAATAAAGCACTGGACTCCTTAGATAAAGCCGATATATCTGAAATCAGAGTTTTTACGAAGCCCCCAGACTTGGTCATGACTGTTATGGAAGCAATTTCCATTCTCTTGAATGCCAAGTGAGTAACCCAGAATCATGTATTGCCGAAACACCTGGTGGAATCTCTTTGCAGTTTTTTTTTTCAGTGTTCATTCTCTTCTCTACCCGCTCATTGATTTGGGCAGTCATTCAGCAAATTGATTCAACAAGCATTTTTTTTTAACAAGGCACATACCGTCTGCTACAAAGACAGACATGAAAAATAGTAATTTCAAGACATGAGAAAGTTGCATAGTATTAGGAGGGCTGAGATCAGAGTGCCCTGGGGAGAGGTGAGTGGGGTTTTTGAGAGATGATGCTCAGGTGAAGAACGGGAGTGTAGAGAGAGCCCAGCGACCTTCGATGCTCATGGGATGGGTTGGGCTAGGCAGGAAGGCAGGGATTACATCATGAAAGGTCTCACATACTGTTTGTAGACATGTAGTTTTCAAGCTTTCTTTAGTGATATAATCTTTTTATTTTTCAATAAAAATTATAAGAAACCTTTCTTTGTAAAACCAATCAAAGCAAGGGAAGAGGACTAGAGCACTCCCATGCCAGGCTTTCCACCAGACCCTCTGGCCAGCACCTCAGTGGGGCCTGGCAGCCCTGCAAAGCACAGATGGAGAGCCCTGGCCACAGGGCACTGAGAACCATTGAACATTTTCAACAAAATCTGATTTTCATGTGAGAAAGACCAATTTGGCCAAAGTTCACAGGAGGTAAGGTTGACTGAGAGACATAAAATCAGTTAGAAGGTGATTCGTAGTGTCCTGGCAGAAGGTTAAAAGGTGAGTGCCTGGGGCATTTTAATGATAAAACTTGTTTTTCTATGTTGCTTTACATTTCTAAAACTCTATGATTTTATGATTCGTTCCCTGCTAAAACTGGATAGTACGAAACATCAGCCATCCAATTACCTGTCTGCCCATAAATTAGGGTGTACATAACCACCATTTACTGGGATTATAGTATTGAGATGAAAACTACCCACTTATTGGGATAATATCTTAATGTTCTCCAAGGAATGCATTTTTTGGGTTCCCATGCTATTTTATTACAGTGCTACTAACTTACCACTTCCCGTCTTTCAGGCCTGATTGGCCAACAGCAAAGCAACTTCTCGGTGACTCTAACTTTCTCAGAAGACTTTTAGAATATGATAAGGAAAACATAAAGCCTCAGATATTGGCAAAGCTTCAAAAGTATATTAACAATCCTGATTTTGTGCCTGAGAAAGTAGAGAAAGTATCCAAAGCATGTAAATCCATGTGCATGTGGGTGAGAGCCATGGACCTGTACTCTCGGGTGGTCAAAGAAGTTGAACCAAAGAGGCAGAAGCTCCGAGCCGCGCAGGTACGTTATCTGTATTGTGATGTTTTTATAGAATCAAAGGCCATGATCACCCGTCATTCAAGCTCCCTTTCTCATGCCCCCGGGACCCTAAGCAATGTAGATAGTAACAGTGCTCTAGTTTCTGTCTTAAAAAAAAATAACTAGCATAGATTATTTGTTTCCACATATAAAAAACCTTTTTTATAGCTTTTATTTATAGCTTTTGAATTTTGTGACATACATAAAAAGGCCTTCCTTACTTTGAGAACATAGGGAATTTGTCCATGTTTTCTTCAACAATTTTTAAATTTTTACATCTTGACCTCTTAGTCAATTTATTTTGTTATGATGAATGTGTTGGGTATCCAGCTTAATATTCTCCACATGAATTAAAGGAAAGCAGAGGGCTCTAGATTAAATTACGTTCTTTCCAATGATTTCTAGAACTTACCATTTCCAAACGTCCCACCCATAGGTTCAAGCAGAGGACTGGGAAAGACTTTTTCAGTAGGGGCCATGCTGGAGGCAGGAGTGAGCATGGTGCGTTCACATCAGGGAGTAAGACCAGAGAGATTGAGGATGTGAAGTAGGGGAAGATATAAGGTTGGTCCACCAGGGGGAGCCATGCGATGGAAGCCCCTTAATACCAGGCCAAGGCGATAAGGAACAGGGTTGTGATCAGAGACCTGCAGCCTTTGTGTTTTGGGAAGTCTGGCCTGGTAGAGGGTTGGAGAGGCAGAGCACAAGCAGGGGAGCCTGGGCAGAGGCGGCTGTCAGAGCTCCAGGCCGAGCCCAGCACCTGTTGGACATTTTTTAGGGCTGGGTGGGAGGCTGAGGACCAGGGGCACGTTTCCAGTCAGGACACTCGGTAGGGTTCCTGGAATTAGAGCAGGGCATCCCCAGGTGTTTCACTTTTGCTCCTGAGTCGACCCCTGAGAACTTGACATCAGGAGTGTCCTCATGAGTTGTTTATGATGTGCGGGGCTGTGGGTGAGTTTCACATGTACCATCTCATTTCATTCTCACCTGCTATTATCCCCATTTTATAGGTTAGGAAACTGAGGCCTAACAAAACCACCAACACACTCAGTTCACAGGTGTTGACATTGGTAGAACTGGGCTGGGGAAGAATCTTTCTGGCCCCATAACTGGGGCTCTGAGCCACCTTGTAGCAATTTTTTTTTCCAGAAATGACTTCTAAAATCAATCCTCTTCCAGCAAAAAGGAAAATGAATTCTTAGTATATTCACATTGCCTCTGGTATTTTTGCGGTCCCTTTGAGCTCTAGGATCAGATGTTCTATGTTTCCCTTTTCTAATTACTCCCACCCTTGACCATGCCCTCTGAGGCTCTGAAATCTAGCTTAATCCGCAATCAGAAGTGAGGTCCCAAGCAGGACGGAGTGGTCATCTGGTGGTTCCTGCAGCAACTGGGGCTGTAGAGCAGGGGTTGGCACACTTTTTCTATAAAGATTCAGATAGCCCAGCCGGCGTGGCTAAGCGGTTGAGTGTCTACCAATGAACCGGGAGGCCACGGTTCGATTCCAGGTCAGGGCACATGCCCGGGCTGTGGGCTCCATCCCCAGTGTGGGGCATGCAGGAGGCAGCCAATCAATGATGCTCATCATTGATGTTTCTCTATCTCTCTCTCCCTCTCCCTTCCTCTCTGAAATCAATAAAAATATATTTTTTAAAAGAAGATTCACATAGTAAGTGCTTCCAGCTTTGCAGGCTCTGGGGTCTCTGTTGCAGTTACTTGGCTCTGCCCTTGCAGCATACCAACAGCCATCAGCACTGCACACATGATGAGCATGGCTGTGCTCCAACATAACTTCATTTGTGGGCACTGGGATTTGAATTTCATACAATCACCATGTGTTATGAAATATTGTTCTTTTGATTTTTCTCCCCAACCACTCACTCACAAACCATACAAAAGCAGGCAGCAGGCGGGCACTGGCTCACAGGCCGTGGTGTGTGGGCCCTGCTCCTTGAGAACCAGTCAGGAAAGATCAGGTTTCACCATTGCAGGGATATTGCATGTGTTTCATCGTTTAAAGTTGGTAATGCAGTGTAGTCACTGATTCGCCCCAAACGCTTGGTAAATCTGTTTCTCTTTTCCTTCTAGGATTCATTGCGTTGGGCTTTGTTTCTGTTCTGTTTCCAGCTGTTGGCTTCTGCTCTTCTCTTGTGGGATTTTATATTTGTTTCAACTTTGCATATCATCTCAAAAATGTTTGAGGACATGACAAAGGGAACATAAACCCTACTTTTTAAAAAATGAATTATCAATGGGCAGATTTCACCTTCTTTTGGGGCCTATTCATGCATAGTTACTTTTTTTTACTAGGCTGAACTTGACATTACGATGGCTACCCTGAAAGAAAAGCGAGCATTGCTTAAAAAAGTGGAAGATCAAATACAGGCCTTACAGGATGAATATGACAAGGGCGTGAGTGAGAAAGAAAGCCTGAGTAAGTAACTCGTAAAATGTATTTTGGTCAGGAAATGCCTGATTTCCAAAAGTAGACTTTTGTTTGTTTGCTTGCTTGCCTTTTCCATTGATTTCTAGAAAGAGAAGGCAGGTAAGAGGGGAAGAGAGAGACAGAGAGAGAAACATGGACATGAGAGAGACACATGGATTGGTTCCTCCCGCAGGCACCCCCACTGGCCTGGCGAACCTGCAACTGAGGTACATGCCCTCGACTGGGAATCCAACCACAACCCTTCGGTCCTTGGGCCAACACTCTGACCACTCAGTCAAACAGGCCAGGGCAAAAATAGAAGGAGTTTTAAGGCAGTCAGTCATATCTCAGCTTTCATTCAACATGCAGGACGTAGTTCCATTAGACTAGTGCATTAAATGCCTCCTAACATAAAATTAGAAGAACTGGAATATTGTATAGATTCAACTCCTATATGTGAATATGGCTTGTTGGGGGCATGTTACATTGTAACATAAAGCAACACATGCATTTGATTCAGAAAATAAGTAGATAGCACAGAGAGAGTGCTTAAATAGTGCTCATTCCTACTATAAACAGAAGCAGGTGAATAAACTTCTATTTTAGGAAAAGATTAAGTAGCATAATCTGATTTTCTTAAAATGTTCCAGCAAGGACTATGGCCCTGACAAAAGCACGCCTGATACGTGCTGGAAAGCTGACGGCTGCCTTAGGAGATGAGAAAGTTCGATGGGAAGAAACCATCAATAAATTCGACGAGGAGCTATCGAATATCATCGGGAACGTGTTCATAGCAGCAGCTTGCGTGGCCTACTACGGGGCCTTCACAGCCCAGTACCGGCAACTGGTGAGTACACGTGCCTTCTCTAAGGAGTGAGGAGAAGCAGCTGAAACTGGACTGGCAGAGGGAGGAAGGGCGCAGGCGGAAGGGGTCCTTTTCCTGAGTTTAGATGGAGGCTGTCCACTCTGGAGGTTCTCCACCCAGAAATTTATTTCCACCTCCACAGCCCTTCCCCTCTCCCGTCAGCCAGTGATGGTCTACCCCCTACCCTTTCCTTAACACATCCCTCCCCTCCTCTCCCTTCCCCTCCCTTTCTTTTCCTGCCTTAGAAAGTTATTCATCACTTACATTCACATCACAAGAACTTGGGGGAAGAAAAAAGGGACAGGGAGTCCCCTACTATTATGATCAGAAGCGGCATCTAACGTCAGCCTGAACTGGTGAGGCGGCTTCAAAGGACTAGGCAAAGCAAGGAGCAGGAATCTAAATGATCAGGAGTGATTTTCAAGCCATTTTTATGAAACGCCTCCCTAAAACATTTCACCCTTGTCTTTGAGTTGCAAAACCTAGTTAGCACAGGACTGATATAGACTCCGCAGGAGCCCATTGGTGCCCCTGGGGACAGAGTGTCCTCTGTTGTGCATGTCTGTGCCCCTCACTGAAGGAGGTGACATGCCAACATCCCTCTCCCCCGACCCACTAACTGCTAGTAGCTCCCAGGGCCATTGAGTTAACCCCAACTTCTCCGCGTGCTTCCAGACTCTCCCAAGAGGGGCAATACACCCCTGATGAAGACTACTGTGACTCTGTCATTTACACATGAGGTCCAGCCGGGGGGTGACATGTCCAAAGGACCCCGACCTCCTGATTTTTAGTCCACTTCCTGTGTCCCATGCTCCTTGCCAGGAAGCCTGCCGAGCCTGGCGGGACTTCCCCCTAACCCGACGTTGTGTGTGTGTGTCCTCACTCATTGAGGGTCCCTGTGCTCTACAAGTAAGCTCTCCTGCCCCTGCAGCTGATAGAGTGTTGGACCCAGGACTGTCAGTCTCTGGAGATCCCCATCGATTCTTCCTTCAGTCTCATCAGCATTCTTGGGGATCCCTACGAAATCCGGCAGTGGAACGCGGATGGGCTGCCCCGGGACTTGATATCCACGGAGAATGGCATTCTGGTGACTCAAGGGAGACGATGGCCTTTGATGATTGACCCCCAAGATCAGGTGTGTAACAAGTGCTTCTTCCGGTAAGGAGCGGCCTGTTGACTCAGCTTAACATTGTGCCGCCCATGACCGGTGCTAAAGTGGACTTGAACCGACTTCTGAGATCCTGGGATGGAGACCTAGAGGGAGTTTAGAGTCTTTTAGCCCAAGTCCCTCATTCAGTGGATGTAGAAAAGCGAGGCGACCGCGGGCACTGCATAACTTCGTGTTGATTGTTATGGGATTTGTTTAGGGGATTGACCGTGACTCTTCTGTTTTCGGTGGGGGCAGAAACTCATTCTGGTATAGTCCTTGTGCCTAAAAAGTCTGAGGAGTCAAAGCGAAGGAAGGGGTCGGATGAGTTTTAGGGCCAGCCTGCCTAGAATTTACAGAATCCCGCTACCTGACTCCTAACCCCCTGGCTCAGATTGTACTCCACGGGGTTTGGAAAAGGAGCCGTTGTGAAGGCAGAGAGATGGGTTGGAACAGCACAATGTGTTTTTATTTGTGAGGGAGTGGTGGTGGTATTTTTTTATGTATCATTTTTATCTTTCAAACCTGTTCTTGATTGAACAAATTTTCTTAACTTGACTTTTAAGAGCTTTCGCCTCCTAGCCATTCATAAAGCTCTACAGCAAATGTCCTGCTCTGTGCTTTCTCGCCCAGGCCCAACCGCTGGATAAGGAACAAGGAAATGAAAAGTGGCTTAAAGGTCATTAAACTCACGGATAGTAATTTCTTACGCACGCTCGAAAATTCCATCCGGCTCGGTTTGCCTGTCTTACTGGAAGAGGTTTGCTTTTCACGCTCCTTTTCTCCTGCTAGTCCCCAACTGCCAGGTTATATCTGGCCCCCTATGCGCGCCCCATCGGCATCACGCCGAAGACACCTGTCAGGTCCACATTCAAGTTAGTCAAACTGATTGCTCTGCTTCTTGAACGATACACTCGCACAGGGGGAGCAAGCTGTTCACTGAGGAAAATTCCCTGTTTGCAGACAGGGTTCTGGTGTTAAGTGGGATGGGCTCTGCTTTGGGACATGGCTGATTCTCAGGCCTCGTTGTGGCCCCTGGTGGTGAGCTGCCACAAAAATTTCATGTAGTGGTGCCATCAGGGACTGTCCACACACACTAGTGATCTGAAGCCAGTAAATCAGTCCAGGGGGTAGAAACATCACTTTCTGCTTAGATGTAAGGGCAGACTTAGATTAAGTGATGTGATAAGAATGAACTTCCGTGTTCTTGTTTTTTAAAGGATATTTATTGAGCCCAAGTGCTCCATTTCCTCAGAATCACTCCAAGAATGGAAGTTTTCAACATTGTTCACTCATTCAACACACATTATTTGGGAATCAATGGCAAACAGTGCAGGGGAGTGAGAGAGGGCAGCGGCCTGGGGACTGAGTGGGGAGGATTGGAGTCCCCAGGCCTCAATAGCTTACAATCTAGCTGGGGACAAAGACAGTAAATAGAGAAAAGAGAGGCAATGAGAGAAGGGGAGGAAGAGAACTTGTGATAAGGGCTCTGCAGGGGCAAGCCCAGTGCTCACATAGCCATTAAGGGGAGGGGAGAAATAGGAAATGAAGCTTCCATGTGTGGCCTGTGGCCTTGACCAGCACAAGGAAGTGCTGTAATGGATCCCAGGTCCTCATTCAAACCCTGACGTTACAGGAGAGGGTAAGGTCTCTCCAAATCTGATGGGACACAGCTATGTTAGCCTCAATCTGGATTCCTAAACCCCGGTTTACTTCATAACACAGGAGGTCCTGAGGGAATTCCTTCTCTCACAGCAGCAGCGGAAAGAGGACTTTCTGCGATGTGCTGCCCTGGACAGCAGGGGGGGCGGGGGGCAGGGGGTGCCGAGGTCAGGTTTGTCTATAGCTGAGTGCTCAGGGCCCCCCCCCGGAAAGGGAAGGCGGCCCCCGCCCTCCGGGGAGGGGGGGCCGGAGAAAAATTAAACCCCCGGGTTCTTTTGGGTGGTCCAGGGATTTTTAGGGGGAATTTTTAAAATTTGTCCCCCCCCCTTCCTGGGGGG